ATATATATATATATATATATAAATATATATACATATATATATATATATATATATACAAATATATATATACATATATATATATATATATATATATATATATATATATATATATATATATATATATATATATATATATATATATATATATATATATATATATATATATACAATTTATTTTGGTCACTCTGTGCTCTATCACTATGCTGATGACACTTTACACATTAATAACACAGCTTTGTGAAAAAGTTTATATATATATTAGACAAAACTTTTCAAATTTTTCAAATCAATGTTTCATTGGATATTGAGATATATTCATAATGAATTCCTATTAAAAATATGTTTATTTAAATTTTTTTAATATGTATAACTAAAAATCTTTTTTTCAAGTATCAAGTGAAAGAACTGGTGCAGCTGTTGCTTCTACAACATTGCACAGTGGGCCAGAATTGCCTAAAAATGGCAAAACTATTAATGGGTTAAATATAGGTATATGATACTCGTTTATAAAAGTTTTTGGGGCCAAAGATTTCATTTTTGGGCTCCATTTTAATTTTGGAGTTATCATGAACAAACAAGTGGTTATTTTAGGGGTTGTCAAGGGTGGTCATGGGCTTTCTCGATTATTTTTAAATTAGATGGGACAAGTTGTATATCTAAATAAAGATGTCCAGAAATTCAAATCTGGGAATATTCGGTCTTTAAAAGTGGTCATGTCTTTAAGGGTGGTCCTGAGATGTCCCGATGTTTTTCGTCGGGACATCAACGGGACATGTTGTATGTCTAAATATAGAAAATTGCGGTCAGGAAATTCGAAATTGAGCAATTTGGTCTTAAGGAATGGTCATGACCGCTCAGGTAATCATTTTAAGATCAGTTTATATATATATATATATATATATATATATATATATATATATATATATATATATATATATATATATATATATATATATATATATATATATATATTATATATATATATATATATATATATATATATATATATATATATATATATATATATATATATATATATAAGAATCTAGGTGATGATATACATTATACATTATACATTTATATATCAAAAGCCCCTCGGATTTTCTTAGGTTGATTGAAGTCTTTAACTTTTCCCTGACTCCTCTTTTTTCTGGATACCTTAGTAACGAAGCAGCAAAGCATTTTTATCATAAAATCTTAATTTGTTTGAGGCCTGGAGAATTTAATTGTGCTCTCTGTTGTCTAAAACATTAATATGATAGTTTATATAAAAAAAGGTCCTTGATATTTGACATTTCTCAACTATACTTCATAACTTGCCCACTGAAATGCTAAATGTGCCAACTCAAATGCATATATATAACAGCTTTGGGTAGGGGGAGCACCCCCTGTTCATAGCGGCCCTGCTCTTCAGTGACGGATTCAACATTTTGTGGTGTTTGAACAATACACTAATGATCATTAGATAATTTATTGTATAAAAACGCTAGGACGTGCTAAACACGGAAGAAAAGCAGTAATGAAAATCCTAATTCAAACGGTCTATGAAAAAACATACATTTGATTGCAGCAAACAAAAAATGTAGTCATGATAAAAACTCGCAGAGGATCTTTCAATGCAGGTACTTGTAACAAGTGTCTATGTTTCACCAGTGGGTTACATCTAGGAATCGTTTAGAGGGTTTGGTTGTTGTGACAGACAATTTTCATTCATAGGTTTTGTTGTTGTAACAGACAAATGTCATTCTCGTTTGAAAAAGATGTTTGAAAATTCGCTAGCTCAGTTGTTACGTTTAGGGCCTTACGGTCCAATGTTAAACCTAGTGGAAATAATCTGTTTCCATCAGGTTAAACAAAAACTAAAAGTAACGTTGAAAATGCGATTCGCATTCGATTTGTATTTGGTGCTGGGATAGTGAAACAACGAATGCACTAATTGGAAAGAATTGTCACTTCAACAAAAAATACAATAATGGGAGGTGATTGCGCACGTGCTGTACAACGCATTACGCAACAAATTCAAATATGAAATCGTTCAAGTTGGTGTTTAACTAAAAATTGCCATAGTTTTTAATGCAAGAATTTTACCCGTTACCACCAAAAACCAATAATGCCTTTTTCATTACTTTTTTATTTAATTTATATTATATTATTGTTTATTGAAAGCCAAGACATATGATCAATTTGGCTAAATTAGAATCCAATCATATTTAACAAGGTACTTTTTTTAGTTTTACCTTTCACCTGTTAGTCTAGAGGGTTGATACCAAAAGTTTACAGCCCTGAGTGACACCAACCTTACCGACGCGTCGGTGTTGTGGCGTCACAGTGGCGTCGCGACGCCACTGTGTTCTCAATTACATCTTACGATTTCTTATTTACAACTTTCATGTTTTAAATTATATATTACGTTACCTTATTACAATTTATCCTTATTAAATTACAAATGACATTTCTCAATTATAACATTCATCATTTCAATTACATCTTACATTTCTATCTTAAAACTTTCAACTTATCAATTAGATCTTGAAAAGTGTTAATCAAATTACCATACAAGATTACAAGGAGAAAAATATTATCTTATGGTACATAAGTACAACAATCTACACAAAAATATTACATAGTTGTTTAGCATGCAACCTTTTTTATAAGATTAACAAAACAAAGTTAAGGTGTTTAAGTTGTTTTATAAAAACATCTTATAGTTAGCAGTTAACCTAAAATATTAAAGTTGTAGCTATGCCTATAGACCTTAATTTAGCTGCTATGTTTTTTTATTTTTAGAAAAAAGACCTGTTTGCATAAACTGTACCTTGCATTGGACTAAATTCTTTATTACTGTTACTATATTTCACTATAAGGGTCAATTGGGACGATCGGGTCAATTAATAAATAGTTTTATTATGCTTTAGTGAAATAGTGGTAGAACACTTGACGCAATCAAGAGGTTCAAGGTTTAAATTCACGGTACGCCTCTGGAAGTACCACGCACAGTAACCTTGTTTAAAAAGATTCGTGTTTGTGAATTTAAGCTTGAGAGAAAGAAAAAAAAAGTAACAGTTGTTAATTAATAAATAAGCAGTATAACAAGACATACCCGAAGTATGGTAATTAAATTATTAAACTCAAGATAAAAGATAAAAATCTTGCTGATAATTGTAAGAAAAACTGTTTGTTCAATAATTAGAGGGTTCATTTATAATTTCCAGACCTTTTAAAAGTCAAAACTATAGTTGCCATAATTGCTGTTTTTTAGCACGCAGTAAAAGAAGTTAAATACTTTTAAAATAGTTTGGAAACTATTTTAGATTGTTCTGAAAAACAACTTCATTTTTTCTCAAAATTCACTTCAACAAAAAGTTGTAAGGGTCATAATCTTTGAAAAATTTCAAGTGAAAAATAGTTTTAGCAATAGTTATAAATTTTCAAGTTTTATTGTCACTAATTAGTGATGAGTTCATTGGTTAGTGATGAGTCCAGTGGAAAAGGGTAGCTGGAAAAAGAGGAACCGATATAATCAGAAACAGTATCAAAATGATTTGTATCAAAAGAAGAATGGTTAAAAGCAAAGATATTTAAGTGAAATTGAAAAAAACATGTAAGAGAATAGGACTGTGGGCACGTGTCTAAGGGACCTTTTCTTTAAAATTTTTTGAGAAAATTCTACATATAAATGACTTTATTCGAGAAATAGACGATTGCGGCCCTCCACTTCAAAACCCATGTCGTCGGCCATGAATAGTCAAAGCCTTTAAGCAAACAGTTATGAATTAATTACAACAGTTAAATTAATTAATATTTAATTCAAAAATTTACTATAGAGACCTCAAACTTTACTTTGAAGAATACCAATATTTGTAAATGATAGATTTAAACTAATTGGTGGTAGTTTTTTTGGGTTTTATGTTTTAAAGTGTTATAATCATGATTTGAGTTATTAAAAAGATTATATAAATAATAAATGGTGCCGTAAGCAAAAAATTTTGGCCCCATCCTGCCCCAAACTTATATTCATCGATAAATTTTAAGTTTTCATATTATTATTTTTCAGAATGACCATATAAAATCTGCAATCCCTCAAATTGAGGGGGGTTTAAACTTTATATGGTCATAAATTTTGAACGCTAAAATATTTGACTATGAAACTTAAAATTTATCAATGAATATAAGTCAGTTGAAAATAGTATAAAAAATATTTCATCAACTTGTTGCTCTCACGTTTTGGGCAGGGTCTGGACAAAATTTTAGGGCTTTTTTGTTCCCAAGCTCCAATCATTGCAATTTTTTGCAAAGCATCCATATTTGACATAATTATAAACATATTATTGTTTGGAGTTTGCTCCATGTCTGGAAGTTTGCTATCTTGTTTGGTATCTCAAAGCTATGGCGCAATTGGCGCCACTGTTCTGAATTAAGAAACTGTTTGTTTAACTATTTGCAATAAAAATTTGTTTTTATATCTTATCGTAGTTGCTCTAATATGTGTCTGTATATATATACATATATATGATATGTTATAGATATGTTATAAATACTTCTAATAAATAAATAAAAAGGAAAGAATACTCGCAGCAAAATGTACACAGTTTTCATATTTTTTTGAACTTGGTTTGGAGGTGGTTTACTTTTTGTTTTTTAAAATTTAACATAAAGAAACTATTTGGAGCATTTATGATGGTTTGTATTTATACAATTTTACAATAAAAAAAAGTTTTTTCAATGCTTTGCACTAATGCAGATTTGCACATACTCCAGAATACATTAGATTTACGAATTTATTTACCTAAGCAGTCGCCATTTTGGGATCATGCGGACGTTATTGTTGACAAATGTTACTAAGAGCAAATCTCGTCTGATGAATATATTTTCGTTAAAACTGATCGATTTAATAATTTTTAATTTTAATGGTGTTAAGTATATTTAAAAATAAAGTTAAACCTTTTTAAATAATTAGTAAGAAAAGTTTCAAAAAAAAAATTACAATAATTTACTTGTTTAGCTTATTGGAGTGATTTATACATAAAATGGGTATTTCATATAACAATTAACTAACCGTTAATGGTTTTGCAAGTTTATTATTTTACAAATTGGAAAGAATGTAAGTATTTTACTTTCATTTTTTTTTTTTTTTGCAAAAAAGTTGTGTAAAATAGAAAATGCTTAAGATATTTTCTATTTAAAGAAATTAAAAAAATAATAATTTCAGTTTTTGTTTTCTAGAAAATGTCTGATATCCCTCATGAAGAGAACCAAAAATATTGTTCTAAAATTGTGCAAACTGACTGGAGTTGTTTAAAAGACGATTTCATTGCAGCTAATAAAGAAAAAGAAATTCAAGAAAGACACCAGTGTAATGGTAAACGATATATTAAGAAATAAGAATTTTAAAATAATAATAACTCAAAATACTAATCATTACTAATAATTTATAATCATTACTAATAATAGTTTAAGAATCTATTATATGAAAAAATTGCACGTTATCAATTTTTTGAAGATGCAGGAAATAATTTCTTCTTTTGTTTGCTTGGTGATGTCTATGACGCTTGACTACTTCAACAAGAATTTTTGTTGTTGTTAGTCTCTGACTTATTTATTTAGCTTTTTTATTAACTTTCAGTGTTGCATTTATCCAAAAAAGCAAATTCTACATTTGTTTCTGACAAATAAAAAAAGGTTTCTTTTGACAACTGCCATTTTGTTTTATATCTCCTTCTGGAAGCCATAGAAAATCCAGGTATTCTTAAAAGAATATCAACTTACAGTTGTCTTGTGCCAAATGCAAGCACAAATGAGACAGAAAAAGTTACTGGAAGAAAAAATATAAAGATTGTAGAGCAAGATAACGATTGACAGACGACTTAAAAGATTGCAAATTATATGAATCAGAAACACAAGGTGAAAGAAGCGAATTCCAAAGAACTGATGTTTGAGGAAAAAAAACTAGGTGAATAAGAGTTTTTGGAGTACTAAGGAAAAAGGATGAGACTTAATTAAATGGCGAGTAATACAAGAATGAATTTTAGTAGATAGCACAAAAGACGCTAGCTCTTTAGAGCAGTGTCCATAATAGTATTTGTAGAAAAGAGAAAGAGAAGCAACATTATGACGATATGATAAATGTTGAAGGTTAGCTGCAAGTACAGGTCCAACTATGTTTACAATGCGTTTTTGCACCTTGTCTAAATAAGAAAGAGCATCATTAGAAAATCCGCCCCAGATATGGCAACAGTATTCCATACAAGGCCGGATTTGAGATTTATAGAGATAGAGAATAGAATCCAGAGTAAGAAAATATAAAGCTCGATAAAGAGATGCAACTTTAGCAGATGCTAATTTTGCAACGGATTTGATATAAGGTTTTCAAGAAAGATCAGAAATAAAAGTTAATCCTAGAAGATGAAGGGTAGATGACTCATCGAGTACATTACCGTTCATAAATATAGGAAGGTCTAAATTATTGCAATAATGATTGGCTGAAAAAAATTGAGTTTTATATGATTTAAAGTTCACCAGCCACTGTGAGCCCTATGCTGTAGCAGAAGTGAGATCTTTTTTCAAGCTCAAATGCTCCCTACAAGCAATCAGATGGAGTTGGCTTCTTATTGCGACAAGAATAAATGGTAGTATCATCAGCGAACAATCCCACCTTAGATGTGAGATTATCTGGAAGATCCTTAATGTAAATTAAAAAAAGTATAGAGCCAAGGATTGAACCTTGAGGAACCCTTGAAGTTACAGAATAAGAAGAAGTGTGCTGTCCATCAAGGACAATTTTTATACTACGATTGGAAAGGAAGGATTCAATATTCTTAAAGATGTTTCCAAATACACCGTAAGAGGAAAGCTTATGGAGAAGACCAACATGCCAAACTTATTTTTTAATTTCAAACGCTTCAGAAATGTCAAGAGCGATGGCCTTAACCTTTATCTAATACGCGATAAAACCTATTGATTATTACTGTTAGCAAATCAGTGTAGAATGAGAAGATCGAAATCCATATTGATGATCAGAAAGTAAGTTATTAGATTCAAGATGAGAGATTAAGTGTTTGTTAATTAAAGATTCAACCTTGCTTATGACAGGAAGAAGACTAATGGGACGGTAGTTAGACAAATCAGATCGCTCTCCAGAATTTTTAAAAATAGGGATAACAGATGCTGCTTTCCAGCAGGCTGAAAAACAAGACTCTGATAAGCACTTCTCGAATAGTTTTGAAAAGATGACAGCTCCGGTGAACACTTCTGCATGACTATAACAGGTATGTTGTCCAGGTTGCAAGCTGTAGTAGAGTCTAAGCAGGAAATCACTTTAGATACAGAAGTTGAAGTGATACGGATGTCAAGCAATAGATCAACCTGTTTGACACCTATATCAGGTAGAACGCAACTAGTGGAATCAAGAGATGATATTGATGAAAAGTTCTTAGCAAACAATTCAGCTTTGTCTATAGGATATATATATATATCTCCTATAGCTGATTTAGATAAGCATTTGTCCACTAGTTTTGCTTATCTTTATAGCATACCGCGTTTTTAGAAAAAGAAGAAAAAAGCAAAGAATAATGAAAGAAAAGATTGCTGCTCTATCCCAAAACCTCAGTCGATGTAGCAGCACTCTGCTGCAAGTCAGGATATTTGTCAGTCGGTGTATGTACTGAAGCCCCCAGCAACAAGCTATTTCAGTATGACGCTATATATATATATATATATATATATATATATATATATATATATATATATATATATATATATTTATATATTTATATATATATAGCGTCAATCTTATGAATAAATAATAATATATTATATATATTAATATAATACATTAATATAATTATTAATCCCTATATGTTAATAATATATAGGGATTAATAACTATACTAATATATTAATATAGTAATCAATCCCTGCAGTATTGTAAATCAATACAAGTATTGATTTACAATATTGGCTATATAAAAACTGCAATAAAATACCATTTTTTTAATCATAATCAATGAAAAAACATTGAAATTAAAAAAAGAGCATTTTCAGGAGAAATTGAACTTGCAACCCTGTTAGCTGCACTTCAAAATTAGACATATATTACATCCACAAGACTATACTACTATATCAGTTCGGAGAAAAAATGAAGAATTTAAATTTTTTACATACAAATTAGATTTTTGCTATGTAAACATTTGTACGAGCGTACAAATAATGTGAGCAAAAATGTAATGAGAACCTACAATTATATGAACATACAAATAATTACCTTCTAAAAATAAAACATTAAAATTCAAATCTCCCTGAGGAGGATTTAAATCTGCAATACTATCAACTGTGCCTCAAAGAAGAGCGTTATTACATACACAGCACTATGTGAATAAGTTGATTACTTAATAAATAAAGATTGAATTTGTAGACAAGTTAATTGATGAAAAGTTCTGGTCAAGTAAAAGGTTATAAAATAGTGAAACAGCAAAGGGTAACTTAAGCAATTGCAAAAAAAATATTGAAAAGTACTAAGGGATCAACAAAAGTACTTCATAAGTGTCTATTTCAGTTACATAAAATAAATTTTCATCTGCCATCAAAAGAAGAACTATGGAGTAATAAAAGTAAAAATAATAAAAGTAAAAAGACAATATGTTAGAAGTGCAAGCAAAAATTTAGGCTCGGCTGGGTTATCTTTTAACATAATATTTATTTCTACTAATACAGGTGCTGAGCTGGCTAAAAAGTAATTTGCCAAAAATTTAAAAACAATTTTTTTTTATTTTTATGTTAATTTACCTCCTCAAGGCTGAGAAGGATACTATAGTCAAGTTGGCTACTTTAGTTGTGGTTACAACCCTCTCTCAACTCTATAACTCCAAGTTCTGGGAATAGAACTTGAAAATTCTTGCTTATGAGGCAAACGATTTAACTCTGCACCACTACCAACTATTAAAGATTAATCAACAGCAATGCTGCTCATGGTAACTGGGTATAGTTTTATTTAATACGTCAGCATCAGTTTGTATACCGAAACAATTAGTAGAGGAAGACAAGATATTATAAAAAGTTTGGAAAATGAAATTGCATTTTAGTGTAAGCTGTGAATCAGATAATGATGTTGATTGAAATAAAAGTTGCTTTATAGTAAGTAATCAATTAATTGAAGATTAACTGATTAAAGTAATAGGCCCAGTGATAAATAAAGTTAGAAAAGTTATGATGGTTTTTAAAAAGTCATTAACTAAAAATGATAATTGAACATACCTAAAAAATGATTTTGGAAAAAATTTCAATGTTTAAAATTGCATAAAAAAAGATCTTTGTTGATATCAGTATTAATGATTGGTTAAAAAAGGTAGTGAGTATAAAATTATATTTGAACTAGTTAACATGATAATCCCAGTAAAACTAGTAAATGTCCACATGATGCAAATCTTATAACTGCTAACATTATGCTTTGTGCAAACTAAATTTAAAGAATAAAAAATTACTATAAAATGTCAATTTGCAATAAAATATTACAATAAATTGTCAGCTTTTTAATGCAGAATAAAAAAACAAAGGGCTGAATTATGTAGCTTGCTTTAATATCTACATTAGATATTGCAGTCAACTACCAAATTCTTGGAGAAAACAAGTTAAATCTCTATCTGAAACATCAAAAATAACATCTAATTCAAGAAAGTAAAAAAATAATGTTTGATCTTTTAAATAGATTAAATGTCACAAGTTAAAATCTTCCTAGAAAATTTAACATTAAAAGTTTATCAAGTGAAGAAGATATCTGCTCAGAAAATGACAAAAATCTATTAGTGAACAACTAAACAAAACTTGAAAAAGGATTATCTAGCAACAACCAGAAACAAGCTGTTGACTAGTTTGCTGTAAAATATGAAGTAGCTTAAGTGATGAGAATTATTTTGAGCTTTCTGTATATTTTCAAAAGACAAAAGAAATAATTTTCTGTACTAGTTATTTTATTGCATCATACTGAATTGAGTAATAATTTTTTTTTTTCAATTTTCATACATAAAATAATCAGGATTTCTTGGGAAACTTCCCAGATTTTGGCAAATCCTACTAGTATATATGCAAGCAAATTATAATCTTTTTTTTTCAAAAATTCTGACAACTCTTATTTTTTAATTACAACTACAATTTGAATTTATTTTTAATTAAGATGTAATTTCAAATAAATAATTTTGTCACAAGTTTCTCTTACCTTGAAACACAAACCTTAACATTTTTTTTGAATTTAAACAATATATTTTGTAAAATTAAAAAACAAATGTTCAAAACTAAATTTAACAGACTTTTATTCAGTATTTAGAGACAACTTGGGTCAAATGGGGTATGAAGATTAATGGAATTTTGCAAATACACCCTTTAGAGCCTCAAAAACTCAAATAATTGGATTTTTTTTTTTTTATTTGCATTCACTCCCAACAAGGCTGCAAGCAACCACTATTAAGTTGGCAGTTACTAGGAAAAAAAACAGAGCTATAGAGCAAGGAAACGGTTGACAGAAGACTTGAAAAGTTGAAGGTTGTATGAGTCAGGAAAACATGAAGATGGGAGAGAGTTCCAAAGGATTGAAGTGCGGGGAAAAAAACTAGATGAATAAAAGTTTTTAGAGCATGCAGGGACAGATACAGTAAACGAATGAGACTTAGCTGAATGATGAGTAAAACGAGAATGAATTTTAGTTGATGGAACTAGAGATGATAACTCCTTTGATCAGTGACCATGATAGTATTTGTAGAAAAGAGAAAGAGATGCAACTTTACAACGATGGGAAAGAGGTTCAAGCTTAGCAGATAGTCCAGGTCCAACAACATTTACAATGCGTTTTTGGACCTTGTCAAGAAGAGAAAGTGAATCGTTAGAAGAACCAGCCCAAATATAACAACAGTATTCCATACAGGGACAAATAAGAGATTTGTAGAGGTAGAGAATGGAATCAGAAGTAAGGAAATGGCGAGCACGATAAAGAGAAGCAACCTTAGCAGAAGCTAATTTAGCAATCGATTGTATATATGGTTTCCATGAAAGGTTAGTAGTAAGCGATAATCCAAGAAGACGTAAAAAGGAGGACTCAGTGAGAGGATTGCCATTCATTAATATAGGAATATTGACCATATTACGGTAGGAATGTTGACCATATTACGGACCATATTACGGATTTGAAGTAATGCAATAAAAGCCAGTGCTATCTTGATATATAGTCCTCTTTTCATGCAGCATTATTGTTGCAAGTTAAATATAAATCTTTGCATCTCTTTTTCTTCAAATTTTTTTAACTTACAACTTCAGAAGCTGGTACTTAATAATTAAAGCTAAATATTTTATTTTATCTTAATAACTTATTGTTGACAAATATTTAACTCAACAATAAAGTCAATCCAGTTTTGATTATAATGCATTTTAATGTACAACTACAATGGGGTAAAATTGGATAATTTAAATGGGGCAAAATGGGGTTTTTCCTCATTTCCCCCAACTTTGTAATTATTTTATATCATGTAATTGTACACTTATAGTGCTTCTAGCTTAATTATACTAACCCCTAGTTGCTGCTTTGAGTTTGACTACTGTCTCCACACATTTTCACTTTTACTTCCCCATTTTAACTCATTTGCTTCTATTGCTGCTTTGGCTTATGTAATTAATGGTACAATGGCTCTTAATTTCTTTATTCTTGGCTCTAAATTTTTCTATTCTAAAGAGCTTTATTCCTAGAATGTTGAAAGTTGTGTTTTTTGTAGTGAGTGCCAGTACAGAAATAGACAGGCTCACTATTTCTGTGCTGGAAATGAAGAAAAAAAAATAGTCCAAACTTTGTGTGTGAGCTATGCATAAATAGTATATGGTTTTATTGTTACACAAGATCTCATGACCCCATTTTTACCCATGTCAAACCCCCCCCCCCTGTTTCGCCCTAGTATTAAAAAAAACCCTGTTTCGCCCTAGTATTAAAAAAAAGAAATACACAAATGGGGTGTTTGTGTATTTTTTTTTTAATTCAATATATTAAAAAAAGTTTACACTCTAGAGTGTTTTTGCTTTGTTACAATGCTGTCAATGTTGTATTATTTTGTTTTCAAGTAAATTTGATTTTGACAATTTTTGTTAGTCTAGAAGAGCTTTTTCTTTAAGTACCCCATTTTATTCCAGTTTCTCCTAGATGTTTGTCTATATAAAAAGTATACTAGTTTAGAAATACAACATGATAATAAAATGTTCTTATATGTTTAAGACTGTCTACTTCACCATCAATGTTATTTCTAAAGAGATTTTAATGGTAATTTTTTAAATCATTGTTAAATATTATCAAGATATTTATTTATGTAAGACTTTTAAAAATTGCAAATTGAATAATATAGGGTGTTACCAATAATGTAAATAATGAGTAAGAGGCTTCTATGGAATTTTATACAATTATATAAAGGATGAGTATTTCTAACACAATAATATGGCATTCTGGTTCACACAAAAATATGATGTTCTGACCGAGGTTTATAGTTAGCTGCTCAATATTATTTACTGAGATACAAGTTATGTAAATAAAAAAAAAATTTATTTACATATTTTTGATCAGTTTTTGATAGTTTATAATGTGTCTATGTTTTTATTTAAGACACCCTAATATTCATATGTTTAAATTAAGCAACCTGATTATGTTTAAATTATGCACCCTGATTTTGGTATATTCTTAAACATATTCACATCAAAGTGTCTTAACACTTTGATGTGAATATGTATTTATGCAAGACATTCTAATATTTATACAATTTAATTTGAGATATTTATAAATGTTTGTATGTGATTGTATGAAACACCTGTGTAAATGCAACAAATATTGTTGTGCTTATGTGTTTTTTTGAGACATTATGTATAATATGTGTTTTTTGTTTTTTTGTTTTATGTTGTTATTTGATTTTTAAAATATATTTTTTTTTTTAGATTCCTCTAAGAAACTACGGAAGAATAACAAAGAAAAGTTTGATAAAAATTTTAAGCAATCTAAAAAAGAAATAAAAGATAATTTTGTTAAAACTAGCAAATCGTTAAATGATCTTTTATCGGATAATAAAAAATCTAAAGATAAAGTTAAAAAATATCGAAGCAATATTCAAGATATGAGCATAATAAAAAAACTTATGTTTCCTAGCTTTAAAACTACACCAGAAATTTTACAATATCATACAGAAAAGTCTAGTATTAAACTTCAATCATTGATTGAGTTAACAAATAAAGTAATTGCTTCCTCTGATAAAGTTTGTCAATTTTGTAATAATTTTCTTGTTGAAGTTACCCAAGAACAAACTGTTGTCATGGAAAATTCACTAAACAAACTTAATTTTGCAAAAGTATTTTTAATTTTTTTTAGTTTTTAATCATCATAAAATACATTATTGAAATCATAATCATAAAAACATGCTAACAATATATTATATGACTAAAAACTGGAAGATTTAAAAACTTTCATATAAAAATAGTTATAAAACTTCATGATTATATCATTGATATCAAGTTGTTTTTTAGATCTATTGTTGTGCAGAGTATGAATATTTTGTTTCATTACTGCACATAGCAACAAAAGATACAGGTATAACATATGATGAACTTCTTGATATAACACATCGTAATACTTCTATTAACTCTCAAAAACATCACACTCTCAACCGGTTAGTTGTTTTTTCAAATTGTTTTTTTTTATATATGAAGTAAAGTTGAAATGGATATAAGTTATGCGGTAGTGGTGTAGTGGTAGAGTGCTCGCTTCATAAACGAGTGGTTCCGAGTTCGATCCCCACCACGTCCCTGGTAGTACCGCGCTCAACTCGTTTCTCCGCGCAGCGGCCCTGTTCGTCAAGGTTCGTGTTTTGGAGTTATAGAGTTGAGAGAGGGTTATAGCCACAAATAAGTAGCCTCCTCGTCTGTAGTGGCCTTCTCGGCCTTGAGGAGGTGAATTAAAATTAAAAAAAAAAAAAAGTTTTTATCAACTTTTTTATCTGCTTATATATCAGATATGCTAGATATTTGTTTTTTATCTGCGGTAGTGGTGTAGTGGTAGAGCGCTCGCTTCATAAACGAGTGGTTCCGAGTTCGATCCCCACCACGTCCCTGGTAGTACCGCGCTCAACTCGTTTCTCCGCGCAGCGGCCTTGTTCGTCAAGGTTCGTGTTTCGGAGTTATAGAGTTGAGAGAGGGTTATAGCCACAAAATAAGTAGCCTCCTCGTTTGTAGTGGCCTTCTCGGCCTTGAGGAGGTGAAGTAAAATAAAAAAAAAAAAAAAAAAAAAAAAAAAAAATATATCAGATATGCCAGATATTTTTTTAATTTGAACTAAATATGCAGGATAAATTGAGGTTTTACCTATTGAGAGGATTTAAGGTGAAGGAGAAGATTTTAATAAAAAATTTTATCTTATTACTTTTTTTCTTCTAAAAAAAATAATTATAAGGAGATGAAACTATGATGGTTATTAACATTGCAACATTGATATATGCTTGCCTTGTATGCAAGAACTTCCATTTTTAATCCTTATCAAGTCTCTGCAGCATCTTTGTTCATCAAGAGGTTTGTAATAAAATAAAAAAAAAGATTTTTAAAAATAATAAAAAATGAGTTGCTTGTAAGATTGTAATGGGCTCTCAGGTATTAAGGACTAATGCCCGAGAGATGACAGCAATCTACTCTACAATTGTGCAGACTTTTTGCTTGCAAAAAAAGACTTTTTGCTTGCAAAAAAAGTAAATTAAGTAAATTAAAAAATGTTTGTGAGATTTTTCAAACCAATTAAACAATCATTCATATTGGTCTTTTAAGCTTTTAAAAAAGTAGAGTAAATTTTTGAAAATTTGTTATTTCTTTATAACACATACATTTATTTAACTTGATATTAAATAAAATATGTGTATATTTTATAAAATATTCACATTATTTACAGATTTAATTATTTATTATTAGTTTTTGTAGTTCATATTTAGATATAAGAAGTTTGATTTTAAAATAAACCAGTCTGACAGTTTTCAGGATGAAGATTTTCTAGGCAATACTTTTACTTTTATTTTTATATTTTTAACTTCAAAATCTTAAAAAAAACTTTAAATTTATTATTTTTAAAATTTGGTACTCTAACTTTACTCCTACTACCCTGAACTGGCTATGCTAAGTTTAACTCCACTCTGTCATCTCAAATTTGCTTTGCTTTTATGCACCTTATACCTGCTACCTAAACAAAGGTAAAATATTGCAATCAACTTTATTTATAATTTAGGTGGACGTCAAATAAAAACTATTCAGTATTCAGTGTCCTCTCCAAAATGTATGGATGAAGGGTGGACAATAAAACCTTCAACTTCAATCACATCATCAATTGAGATCAATGATGAAATAAAAATAGATTTAGACTACATAAAAGAAAGTTCCACCATTTTTAAGGTTATTACTGATTGAATTTAAATACAAATAATTTTAAATGTATTCTTCAAAATAGAGTGCTCAATGTTCTTATAAAAATAGAGAAATAATAAATTAATTTTTATTTATTTAATATATATATATATATATATATATATATATATATATATATATATATATATATATATATATATATATATATATATATATATATATATATATAGGGTAAAGTACTTAACGTTTTTACTTTTTTTGAAAATGCAGGATAAATGATTTTTTCTTGTAAATTTTTTATTTATTATAAATAAAAAATCATTATTTATTTTATTCAAAAATATGAACTGAATAAAATGTGAGCAACAATAATATGAAACTCAAAGTATGTTACATGACATAATTGTTTCCCCAAGGACTACTCTATGGAGATAATTTCTGATAAACAGGTTGATAAACAGTTTTTTATTTTGGCAATGCTGAATTTTGCCGACCAGTGTTTTCTACGAAACTAAAATAAAAAAAATTTGTTTTTTAAGAAGAAGAACTTGTAGTAGTACTTTCTGACCATGTCACAGAGATTGTTTGGTCTCCAAACGATGTGAAACAAAGGATATTCCAGTTTTGTAAAGACAATGTGGTTATTCACAAGTTTAATTGTGAAACTACATCAGAATAAAAAGAATGGTTTTTTGAAACGTCATAATAAACTCTCTGAAAGAGTTGCTGAGTCAATGTTGTTGCATTGAGCTATCAGTTTTAATAGAATTAAGATAAATCGTTTTTATGATGAACTAGAAAAAATAATTTTTAATACCAATGGAATGCAGATTACTTCACTATCAAACTTGTTCAACATAGATAAATCTGGATTGCCATAAAACAGGTCATAAAACAGGAAATATTTTTGACCTGAAGGGAAAACACAGTGTTGGTGGAAAACACAGTGTTGGTGGAAAACACAGTGTTGGTGGCTTAACAAGCTTTGAAAGAGGAAAAACAATCAGAATATTTTCTTGCCAAACAGCAGGCGGATTTTTGTTCACAAATGCTGATCTATCCACGTATTCAAGTGAGACCTGAATTTTTAGATAAATTTCCAAAATGTTCTATTTCTGGTTGCAGCAAAAATGGCTGGGTTTTAATTGAGTTGTTTGAAAAATGGCTTAATCATTTTTAAAAGCAGTCCAGCTATAGTCATGAAACCTACCAGCTCTTCTAACTTTGGGTAGACATTCAAGTCATAAAAAAAAATCATTTAAAAAAATTACTTCCATTCCACTGCATGCACAAACTGCAACCGCTTGATGTTTCATTCTACAAAAGCCTCAATATATTCTTTGAAAGTTGGTACTTGGCTTCGTCACCATCCAGGTCACCCTTTAACTGAATTAGGGGTTAGTAAATTATTTGGAATAGCTTATGGGCAAAGATCAACTGTTTAAAATTGTCATTCAGGGTTAAAAATATGTGGAATATATCCATATTGATAGAAATTTAAAGTAAATAATTTTAAAAAATGTACTTTTTTTTTACCATCTTCCACAATTTAGTTTAAACATAAATATGTCTTTTTACAATAAAGCAAAATATTAACTTATCTGTTGTTTTATTAACCTAAAAAAAAGGTTTTTTAAGAAATAGTTAAAATAATTTTAAAACATTTTAACTATTTTTTTATAATTTACATGTTGTCTAATTTTATTTACTCTCTTTAGTTAAATAATTTTAATATTTAGAATCTGTTTCACTAAATTCATCATTTACACCGGATTTGACATTAAAAATAGAAAACAAACAGGTATGAAAAGGAGGAATCATACTGGAAAAGTTACTAGATCACCATCTCAGAGGAAAAATTACTGGATCACCATCTCAGAGGAAAAATTACTGGATCACCATCTCAGAGAAAAATTACTGGATCACCATCTTAGAGAAAAATTACTGGATCACCATCTCAGATAAAAATTACTGGAAACTTTTTATTTACAGATTTAATTATTTATTATTAGTTTCTCTAACATTGTATTAATGGGATTCATGAGATAAAATTTTTTATCAGAAGTTTTATTTAAGAGCTGAACATTTTTAATTATAATATTAAATTAGTATGTAGTTACTACTACTCTAAAGCTGAATACGAATCTTTTCATGGTTTTCTTTGTGACGGTCCTCCAACTGACATCTTTTCCCTCTCAGCTGAAAAATGAGTAAGACAGAACTATTTATAAAGAACTTTTCTTCTAATTCAACTCTTGAATCTTATGGCAAATCTCTTCCTTCCATTCCAATTAAACAGATTAACCCATTGTTAGACATTCAAATCACTCCAGCTTCCATTACTAAAGTCATATCTTGATTAAACTCTTCTACGGCCAAACAACATTCCTGTCATAGTCTAAAAAATTGTCCTCCAGAACTTTTTTCAATTCTCTCTAAACTTTTTAATAAGTGCCTGACTGAGTCTTGTTTTCCTGCCTGCTGGAAAATAGCATCAGTTGTTCCAATTTTCAAAAACTCTGGTGAACATTTTGACCCCTCCAATTATGGTCCGATCAGTCTTCTTTCTGTTATTAGCAAGGTCTTTGAGTCTTTTATAAACAAATTTCTCACACCTTATTTTGAGTAAAATAAATAACTGTCAGACAATCAATACAGTTTTCAATCCTTTCTCTCTATGGCTGACTTGCTAACTGCTGTGACTGAAAGATTTTATCACGCATTAGATGGAGGCAGAGAGGCTAGGGCTATTGCTCTTGACATATTTAAGGTTTTCAACAAAGTTTGGTATGTTGGTCTTTTCAATAAGCTTGTTTCATATGGTGTATGTGGGAAAGATTTTGAGATTACCAATTCGTTTCTTTCTAACCACTTTATTAAAGCCATCCTTGAAGGCCAACACTGTTCTTTATTTCCAGTAACTTCTGAGGTACCTCAATGTTCTATCCTTGGTCCTGTTTTGTTTCTTATCTACCTTAATAATCTTCCCAACAACCTTACAGCTAAATCTCTTTTTGTTGATGACTCAACTTTATTCTCCTGTCTTGACAAAAAGTCTTCTCTTTTCAATCAATTAGAATAGGCAGCCGATCTTAAGTCTGATCTTAATTCTGTAAAAAATTTTGGGGACAAAATTTACTTAGTGGCAAGTAAATTTTGTCCCCAAAAAAATAAGTTATTTACTGAAAACAACAATCTCAATACTGTCGACATTCCTATATTAATGAATGTCAACCCTCTCACAGAGTCCTCTTCACTATGTCTTCTTGGATTATCATTTACTACTGACTTTTCATGGAAACCATATATACAATTGATTGCTAAATTAGCACTTGCTAAGGTTGCTTCTCTTGATTCCATTTGCTACCTCAACAACTCTGGTAAAGTAATTTTAATCATGTTATATGACAAAGTAATATGTCACCATGGTTTTAATATTGTTAATGCCATAGAATGATCATTAAGACCTATGGGTTATTTATTGGAACCCATGAACTAGTAATTAGGACTCATGAAAATGACTAACCAAAATTCAAAAAATGTTATTAAAAGAAATGTAAAAATTAATAAGTACAACATCAGTAACAATAATAATAATAACAATAATACAAAAACTCATTTCCGAAATGAAAAGAGTGTTAATACACTGTCGAATTTGAGTGATAAACTTAGTGAGATAACGTGCTTATACACAAGTGCAACATCGTTGAACAATAAATTAGATGATTTAATTAAGGAAATAATTTCAAGCAAAGCTGATATTATAATGATAAGCGAGACATGGTGGACAAATTCTTCAGTTATAAATATAGTAGGATACACTCTATTTAGAATGGATAGAAACATTGATAGAGGTGGCGGAGTTTGTATGTATATAAAAGATAAAATCAAAGTCTATGAGGTTGCAGAGAATTGTTTAAATAACCCAAATGTAGAGCAAGTTTGGTGTATAGTTGAATTAGGTTTAGAAAAATTATTATGCGGATGTGTATATAGAACGGGAGCAAGCGATATGAATAAATGTAATGATATAATTAAATCTATAAGATACGCTCATTCTATGAATATAAATAAAAAGTTTGCAGGGTTATTAATATGTGGGGATTTTAATTTCAATACAATCAAATGGTCTGAAGAATATTTTGGAATGTTATTGAACGCATCTGATGTACAGGCTAAAATATTCCTAGAGTGTTTAAATGATTGTTTTTTACACCAAAACGTAATAGAACCTACATTTCAGAATAACGTAGGAGTAATGACTAACGTATTAGATCTAATTCTCACTGAATGCAAAAATCGTGTTTTCGGATTAATTCATCTCCCACCACTAGGAGGTATTAATCATGGGCACCATGTTATTAAATTCAAACATAGTTTGTTAATTGTACGATTGAAAGTTTATATATGAAAAGATAAATTTTAACAAAGGTAATTACTATCCAATGAGCCAATATTTTAAAACTATAAACTGGAGTAGAGAATTTCACAATATAGATGTGAACTCGTGTTATGAAAAATGGCTCTCTCTGTATCATGAAGGTTGTAACAAGTACATTCCATTTACTAAATTATCAAATAATCCGAGAAATAATGTATCAATTTGGATGAATAATGAAATAAAGCTACTTACTAAAGAAAAAAGGCGACTGTGGTTCGAGTGTAGAAAATTAAAGTTTATCGACAATCAAATGCTTGACTATTATAAAGAATTAAACAAGAATCTTAAGAAAAAAGTAAACTTCAATTCCAACAAACTTTGTGAAAACTTCAAGCTGTTGTCAAGACCCTGAATTTAATAAAACAATAATTGAAAACTACTTAAATAAATTAGACACAAATAAAGCAACAGGACTAGATAAAGTGCACCCAAGAGTTCTCAGAGAATGCTCAGATGTATTGTCCAAACCATTATCAATCATATTTAACAAATCATTTCAATTAGGAACAATACCTAAAGTTTGGTCATGCGCCAATATTATTCCATTGTTTAAAAAAGGGAACAAACTTAGACGCTTAGACTCTTCTACAGCTTGCGGCCCGGACAACATACCTGTTATAGTCTTGCAGAAGTGTTCTCCTGAGCTGTCGTCTATCTTTTCAAAACTATTCAACAAGTGCTTATCAGAGTCTTGTTTTCCAGCCTGCTGGAAAGCAGCATCTGTTATCCCAATTTTTAAAAATTCTGGAGAGCGATCTGACTCATCTAACTACCGTCCCATTAGTCTTCTTTCTATCATAAGCAAGGTTTTTGAATCTTTAATTAACAAACACTTAATCTCTCATCTCGAATCTCATAACCTACTTTCTGATCATCAGTATGGATTTCGATCTTCTCGTTCTACGGCTGATTTGCTATCAGTAATAACCGATAGGTTTTATCGCGCATTAGATAAAGGTGGAGAGGTTAAGGCCATTGCTCTTGACATTTCTAAAGCGTTTGATAAAGTTTGGCATGCTGGTCTCCTCCATAAGCTTTCTTCTTATGGTGTATCTGGAAACATCTTTAACATTATTGAATCCTTCCTTTCCAATCGTAGTATAAAAGTTGTCCTTGATGGACAGTACTCTTCTTCTTATTCTGTAACCTCAGGGGTTCCCCAAGGTTCAATCCTTGGCCCTATACTCTTTTTAATTTACATTAACGATCTTCCAGATATTCTCACATCTAAGGTGGCATTGTTCGCTGATGATACTACCATTTATTCTTGTCACGATAAGAAGCCAACTCCCTCTGATTGCTTGCAGGGGGCATCTGAGTTCGAAAAGGATCTCACATCTGCTACAGCATGGGGCTCGCAGTGGCTGGTGAACTTTAATTCAGATAAAACTCAATTTTTTTCGGCCAATCATTATCGCAATAATTTAGACCTTCCTATATTTATGAACGGTAATGTACTCGATGAGTCTCCTACCCTTCATCTTCTAGGATTAACTCTTACTTCTGATCTTTCTTGGAAACCTTATATCAAATTCGTTGCAAAATTAGCATCTGCTAAAGTTGCATCTCCTTATCGAGCTTGTCACTTTCTTACTCTGGATTCTATTCTCTATCTCTATAAATCTCAAATCCGGCCTTGTATGGAATACTGTTGCCATATCTGGGGCGGATCTTCTAATGATGCCCTTTCTCTTTTAGACAAGGTGCAAAAACGCATTGGTAACATAGTTGGACCTGCTCTTGCAGCCAACCTTCAACCTCTGTCACATCGTTGTAATGTTGCTTCTCTTTTTCTTTACTACAAGTACTATAATGGGCACTGCTCTAAAGAGCTAGCGTCTCTTGTGCCATCTACTAAAATTCATTCTTGTGTTACTTGTCATTCAATTAAGTCTCATCCTTTTTCTGTTACTGTTCCTAAGTGCTCCAAAAACTCTTATTCGTCTAGTTTTTTTCCTCGAACATCAGTTCTTTGGAATTCGCTTCCTTCATCTTGCTTTCCTGATTCATATAATTTGCAATCTTTTAAGTCGTCTGTCAATCGTTATCTTGCTCTACAATCTTCATCTTTTCTCTTCCAGTAACTTCCAACACTAATTAGTGGTTGCTTGCAACCTTGTTGGAAGCGAAGATAATTTAAAAAAAAAAAAACTTGATCCAACTAACTATAGACCTGTCTCATTGACATCTATTGTGTATAAAACAATGGAGAGGATCGTTAGGGATAAGATGATGAAACATCTAACAAATAACAATTTAATTAACGTGAACCAACATGGCTTTGTAAACAAAAAAAATTGTGTTTCAAATTTGTTGGAAACATTCGATTATATTACAAGTTCAGTTAATGAAGGTTGGCCATTGGTGATCCCATTTCTGGACTTCGCTAAAACATTCGACTCAGTAGACCATGAGAAGTTATTATTTAAATTAAAAAGCCTTGGATTTGAATTGAAAGTATTAAACTGGTGTAGAGGCTTCTTAAAAAACAGATTGCAGAGAGTGGTATTAGGTAGTTTTGAATCAGATTGGGATGAAGTTGTTAGCAGCGTACCACAAAGTTCAGTTTTAGGTTCTCTCTTCTTTGTTGTATTTATTAATAACATAACAAAAAGAATCAAATCACTTTGTAAAATATTTGCTAATGATACGAAACTCTTACGAGCTATCAAAGATGTGAATGATTCAATTGAATTACAACAAGATATTAATTCATTAGTAGAATGGTCAAACGAGTGGTCACTAAAATTCAATAAACAAAAATGCAAAATAATTATATTTGGTAATAGTCAACAACAATTCGAATTTATCGAGGGCGAAAAATTAGTGGTTACAACTTTGAAAAAGGAATTCTAAATTCAGACGATTTGGAATAGAATAATCATGTAAACTGTGCAGTGAACAAAGCGAATCGAAAACTCGGTCAAATCAAACATGTTTTCTGTTATATGAATGAGATTATGATGAAGATGTTATTTGTCTCATTAGTTAGACCTCACTTAGAATATGCAGCCACAATTTGGAACTCGTACTGGCAGTATGATAAGGATAAATTAGAGAAAGTCCAAAAAAGAGCATTTAGAATCAAAAAAGTTTACGAGGGTATAGCTATGAAGAGAGACTTAAAAAACTAGATCTATTATCGCTCGAGAATAGAAGAAGAAGAGAGGATTTAATTCAAATGTTCAAATATTTTAAAGGATATGACATAATTAATTTTCACCATCCACCAGAAATTATTGATAATGAAAGAAAAACAAGGGGTCGCAATTTGAAATTAAGAATGCAGTTAACAAGCAACATAAAAAGATTTAACTTCTTTACAAATAGAGTGGTGAATGATTGGAACAATCTCGATCAAAATGCAATAGAATCAAGTACCATCAATCAATTTAAAAACAGAATAGACAAACATTTTAAATATTAGCAATTATTTTTTAAAGCTATTTTGTTTTGTTACAGCTGTTACAGTCTCGAACTCTGCATAGTTTGGACCCAACACTCAAGAAATTGAGTGTACAGCATATTTCTATTCTAGATATTTTACTTTTCTTTAAAAAAAAAATTGAATAATAAATACTAAAAGTAAAAATACATGAGATGAAATTTTTTTTTCAAAAGTTTTATTTAGAAGCTTAACATTTTTTTGTTAATACATACATTTTGATAATATTAAATTTATATATTATAAATTTATATATATACATATATATATATATATATATATATATATATATATATATATATATATATATATATATATATATATTATATTCAGTATTTTCCGGATTTTTTTATTATAGGAAAATCTTTTCATTAATGAAAAGTTTTATGAAAATGGAGAAAAATTTATGACAATTTTTCCAGATGGAAGTGGTTGTTGTTAGTATCCATTTCATATTTTTGTACGTGTTTTTATGGTGAATTTTTTTTTTTTTTTTTTTTTTTTTTTTTTTGTATTACCACTTGTTCTTTCCTCTCAGCCTTCTCTTCTTATACATTTCTTTTTTATTTTTATTCTTATATCTTTCAATGCTTTTTTAAATTGATTTTGAATTTTGTGTGTGTGTGTCCACACAACTATATTATTGAGTTGTGAAAAATATAATTATTGGTATAATAACCATTCAGTTTGCAACATGTTAAAAACTCAATTGTTATGAACATTATAAAAGGCTAACAAAAATTACACACATAAAAAAGAATATAATAATAATTTTTATTGTTCTTATTAATTGTACAAAATAAATTGAATTTGCAAAATAAATTGCATGCACCAAAGAAAAGTTTGTAATAAAAGTATATTTTATAATTAAAACCTTAGTAATGAAAACTTGTTCAGCAAAAGTACATGTAATGATGTACAGTAATGATGTAGAATCAAGTACAGTAATGATGTAGAATCTGCTTCCTTAACATTTAAATATTTATCCAAATGGAGAAGTTGCTGTTATGATTTTATCTACTGAAAAACATCAGTCAACATTTATTATATTTCAGGTAGAGTATTTATTTACAGTAATAAATATTTATAGCATAAATAGTTACACACAAATTGTAGTTCTGAGACTGGCTGGTAGTCAGGTTTCCTGAACTCTGTGGTAGCTCTCAGAGAGGCTGATTTCATCAACAGCTGTAAAATATCAGAGCACTAACAGTGCCATGTTGCGCATAGATGATTTCCCTGTTTGTACTTTTGGTGCGCATTATAAAAGCCTCATTTGGAACCCTTTGTTACAGCTTTAGATTTAATAATAGTAATGAGACAATTTGTCTCATTACTTGTTCATCAAATGCTTGGACTATTAAATAGTGTACTGAGTGCTATTTGTGCTTTGAGTCAAGTTCTTTAACAAAATTAAAAATAACTTAAGTACCAAAAATTATGAAACACAAAAAACCATTATCATCACCAAGTTCTCTAAATCTATCATTCATTATTATTCATGATCTTTGAAGTAACTTTTCTTCTGTCGAGTCTTATCTCTTGCAAAGTTCACCAGACCTATTAGATCTTTTTGAGAATAATTTGACACCAGACCTACTAGCTCTTTTTGAGACTAATTTGAATTCGTCTGTTTCATCTTGTGATCTTAGTGTTGATGTGTATGTTCCTTTAATTTGTTAAGACTCCAATAGCCACATGCTTGGCCTGAGCATTTACATTTGTAAGAATTCACCATTTGTTGACAAACTAAGTTTAAGTCCACATATTATTCTTTTATGTGCTTTCATTTAGCACCACTTCACTCTATTGTCTTTCTTTTTGTTCTATATCACTCCTCTTCATCTCAAGACTACACTTTTTTCGATGATATTTCTTATCAAATTGAACAAGCCTTTTCTCTTTATTCTTCAGCCACAATGTTGCTGTTGGTGACTTTAATGCTTATCACACTGAATGGCTTATCTATAGTGTCAGTGACTCTGCTGGCATTAAGGCCCACAATGTTTGCCTTTCTCAATCTCTAACACAAATAGTCAACTTTCCAACTTGCTTTCCAGACAATCCAAATCATTTACCTACTCTATTTGGTTTATGTCTTGTTTCTGATTCTAGTCAGTGCTCAGTTTCTCCACATTCACCCTTAGGTGCTTCTGATTATGGTTTGATCTCTCTAAAACTAATATCTCATTCTTCTTCATCATCAGAATCCCCCTATCATTTTACCTCTTACAACTACCTTAAAGCTGACTAGGACTCCATTTCTGTGATTTTCTTTGTGATGGCCCATGTGAAGAAATCATTTGTCTTCCTGCTGACAAATATGCTTCTTACATTTGTCAGCAGGAAGACAAAAAATTTCTACCAACGGGCTATAATGAAGAAAATTACTGAAAGAGTCTCAGTCAGCTTTAAGGTAGTTGTAAGAGATAAAATGATGTTGGATACCCCTTCTTCTTGGATTCAGGCTGGCATGGAATCCTTTTTTTCATCTAGACAATTCCAAGTCAAGCCTTTTTCTTTCCATGGTTTTCCTTTCATTGTGCTGCTGCAATCTTGCAATCTTCAATTGTAACTATTACTTTTATACCTATCAGCAAAACATTTCTCCAGAAAACAGACTTCTGTTTACTACTGCTAGAAACCATTGTAAAAAGGTTTTGCCAAAGCCCGCTTTTCTCAGGTCTCAAATTCTTATATTTCATCTCAAAAGTTAAGCTCTTGTGACTTCAGGAGAATCTTTAACAGCATGGGTAAATCTGTTATTCCACCTCTCTTGTAAGGTTCAGATTTTGTCACCTCACCAAAAGACAAAGCTGAATTGTTTGCTAAGAACTTCTCATCGATATCATCTCTTAATTCCACTAGTTGCATTCTACCTAATAAGCTGATAAACAGGTTAATCCAATACCTGACCTTCGTATTACTTCAGCTTCTGTATCTAAAGTGATTCATGCTTATACTCTTCTACAGCTTGTGGTCTGGACAACATACCTGTTATAGTCTTGCAGAAGTGTTCTCCGGAGCTGTTGCCTATACTTTCAAAACTATTTAACAAGTGCTTATCAGAGTCTTGTTTTCAAGCCTGCTGGAAAGCAGCATCTGTCATTCCTATTTTCGAAAATTCTGGAGAGCGATCTGACTTGTTACCATTCCATTTTTGTAACATGTATAATATTTTCTTTATGTAACATTTTGCTGCATGTTTCATATGAAGAGAGTATATGAGTAAAAAGTTATAAGTAAACAAAATTTTAAAGAACAAAGTACAGCAAAACATAAATCTTTTACCCTAATTATATATCTTTTCTTATTTTTAGAAAAGTTTTTTTTTTAATGTGTGATCGCACTTCTTCCTGTGAAAATCTGTAGTTGTTTTCAATCCTTGCTTATAGAATAAAGATAATATTAAACTTTTAATAAACATTTTCACACAAAAATTATTTTGATTATTTTAAGTTTCAAAAAATTGTTAGATGCACATTGAAAAGAATGTGCAGAGGTAAAGTTATGCAAAACAAATAATTTGTTTTACTGATTTTAAAACAATACTTTAAAAAAAAAAAATAATAACACAAATAAATTTAACTTAAAATTTCTATATATTGATTGACATAAATTTTCTAAAATATTTATCAATACTGGCCGGAATAATCATTTTAGAAAGCTTAGAAAAAAGTAGTTTTAAATATATGAATAACTAATTTTTTTTTTATCAAGATGCTTTGCTATGCTGTGGAGTGTCACAAATGGTTGTGTGATATAATTTTTTTTCTTTCCATTTTTGTAAACCTCATTGTATATATAATGATTCTCATTGTATATATAATGGTTCACATTTCAAAAAAATAAATAATATAAAAATAAGTTTATGAACTTCTTTCATAATGAACATAAAAGTTTTAATGTCTTAAAAATTGTTTTATTCATATAAACTAAGATTTGTTTTTTAATCAAACTTATTGATTACTTTATTTAAACAAGCATTCAAAACATTAGTACAATTATAATCAACCATTCATAACATTAGTACAATTATATAATCTTAGCTAATTATTTTACAAGCGTTATAGAATATGGTGAAATTTTGTTTTAATTTCTTTTTAAATTACATTTTATATTTAGAAAGGTTTATGAAAAAAATAAATTTTTTTGTCCCAAATGGGAAATGGAATTTTGTCCCAGTCTTTCTTTCATAAGCAACGTTTTTTAGTCTTTAATTAATAAACACCTCATCTCTCATCTTGAATCTAATGACTTACATTCTGATCATCAATATGGATATCTATCTTCACATTCTACAGCTGATTTGCTAACAGTAATACCCGATTGGTTTTATCACGCATTAGATAGATGTGGAGAGGTTAAGGCTATCCCTTTCAACATTTCTAAAGCTTTTGATAAAGTGTGGCATGGCGATCTTCTCCATAAGCTTTCTTCTTAACGTGTATCAGGTAACATCTTTAACGTGTATCAGGTAACATCTTTATGATTATTGAATTTTTCTTTACCAATTGCAGTATAAGAGTTATCCTTGTTGAACAGCACTTTTCTTGATATCCTGTAACTTCAGAGGTTACACAAGATTCTATCCTTGACCTTATACTCTTTTTAATTTACATTAACGGTCTACCAGAAATTCTCAGATCTAAGGTGGCATTGTTTGCTGATGATACTACCATTAAATCTTGTCTTGATAAGAAGCCAATACTCTCTGATTGCTTGGAGTGGGCATTTGAGCCTGAAAAGGATCTCACTTCTGCTACAGCATGTGGCTCTTAGTGGCTGGTGAACTTTAACTCAGATAAAACTCAATTTTTTTTTTACCTAATCGTTATTGCAATAATCTAGATCTTCCTATTTTTATGAACAGTAATGTACTCAATGAGTCATCTACCCTTTATCTTCTAGGTTTAACTCTTACTTCCGATCTTTCTTGGAAACCATATATCAAATTCATTGCAAAATTAGCATCTGCCAAGGTTGCATCTTTTTATTATGCTCACCACTTTCTCACTCAGGATTCTATTCTTTATCTCTATAAATCTCAAATCCATCCTTGTATGGAATACTGTTGCCATATATGGGGCGGATCTTCCAATGATGCTCTATTAGACAAGGTGTGAAAATGCCTTGTAGACATAGTTAAACATGCTCTTGCAGCCAACCTCCAAACATTATCACATTGTCATTGCTTCTTTTTTTTTGTTGCAAATACTATAATGGGTGCTGCTCAAATGAGCTAGTGTCTCTTGTGCCATTTACTAAAATTGATTATTGTGTTATTCATCAATCAATTAAGCCTCATCTTTTTACTGTGACTGTTCCTAAGTGCTCAAAAAATTCTTATTCGTCTAGTTTTTTTCCTCGAACATCAGTTCTTTGGAATTCCATTACTTTATCTTGTTTTCCTGATTCATATAAATTTTAATCTTTTAAGTTGTCTGTCAATCGTTATCT